TTCTGAGTCTTAAACGCAATTCGCCAATTCTGCCAAAAAACTAACCGATGGTGTATTTTTTCATAGTCCTAGTGCTATTCTCATTGTTTAGTGTTTAATTACATCTAGCGTATTGAAGATCTGAGGTCAAATTGAACATCCGTAACATATTTTGGATCTTAACAGCGCTCTATATGTACCGAGTAATGTATTTTTGTTTGATCCAAGACCCGAAACAAAGGTGAACATTATAAGTGGTTAAATGTGTGATTTCCAGGAGAGTTTAGTGTCCAAAATCATTTCGAGGTATTTGATTTGATTGACATACTCGATGGGCTTATCACCTAAATATAGATGTGGGTTTTTAAGTCTTCTGGAGAAAGACATAGCTAGTTTTTTTTTTTTTTTTTTTGCTTTGAGATTTGAAAACCCCACTAATTCCTCCTATCTTGAATTATATTTAAACACTCTCTGATTGTGTACTCGTTATTTGTAATAACTTTATTCATGCTGTAAATAATAATATTATCTACAAATTGTGCTATATTTTGGGAAAGCACAGAAAACGCTATGAGACGAAACACCAAGGAACATAACAAAATGAAAGTTAGTAATTCCTTTCAGCATAGGTATGTCAAAATCCATTCGGAGGATTTACCGCGGTCATGGTAGTTCTTCGAAATGTCCTAGACCATCCTAAGGATAAAACACCCAACGTCACTGAATGAATATAAAAAATCGGACGCAAGAACCCCGACGTGTCATATATTGGCGGAATCCCAAGAAGGCAAAAGATTCGTCCGATAAGAGCGAATATTTTCTCTGTCCCAGATCAATTAATCAGCACATACAGATCATTCCACGCAACAAAATAATATCATTGACTGCGAAAATTAAAAAAAACTCGACACGGAAAACAACATTTTTAGCCGGCTGGTCAAGGAGGCCATCTAGAAATACCGCAGAGGCAAGTCCTTAACCGGGACGAGGGAGTGTTTATGATTTATTGTTGCCTTACCGTCGTATTAACAGCCGGGGTAATTTAAGGACGTGTCAGGTTTGGATGGTGGAGGAAAGCTGGAGTTCCTGCAGAAAAAAAGCACCGACCTGCGGCCAGTACCTGGCGACTGCCCCACGTTGGCCTCGAGCCCGCGACCCAGAGGTGGAGTGCTAGTGATAAAGACACTCAAACGTCATTTAATATGCTAGTAAACTTCAAACCTGTCACGTGTGGTCATCGAAAAGTGACACATAAATAGTTTACTGGTTGTGTTATAGAAATTCTATTCCATTCCTAATTTGTGAATTGGTCTGTCATTTGTCGACATCTTGCGCAAAAATCGTGGTATTTACAACTGGCATTTGAATATCGAATCAAATGCGACTGGTAAACACAATAGGTTAGGGATGCAGGGATGTTGCTATCCAGCCATTGAAAATAAACAACAGGGAAATTAAGAAATAAAGTTTTTGAAGTTGGTAATAAGGTTCAGATAAATTTCAGCTAGACTCTCTCTGAATGTCAATATGAAATTCACCAGTGATCAGCATCAGGCAACTGGGTTGGTCTTGTTTACAGATTGACATTTATTCTATGTTAAGACACTCTTATGTTTTTTTCCGTTGTTTTTTTGTGTTTTTTAAGACACTTATTATTTTTTTTTTTTAGTGACACTTGAAAATATCCCAAATATAGTTAAGAGAAAGTATATTGGTTTGTTTGCAGATTGGATAAAACCCTGTCATTTCTAAAGAAAGAAGGATAAAAGAATGTGCAACTTTTCCTCTATTGAGCATCACCCTTCAGCCTCGGGGACTACCCCTACCGTTTAAACAAAACTTGATATGCCTTAACAACAGCAGGCTACAGACCAAACTGGTAAAGAATTCTGGCTGCAAGCAACCATTTATACAAAATGGACTCCCTTTCCCCAATGCTTCCGACCAAATGAGGGCAAAACACAGGCATTCTTAAAGAAGAATAAAAGAATGAAATAAAATTGCTCTATTTCCCCTATTGTGTCCCCCCTCCCCCAACCTTTCATACCAAAATTATTCTACTTTACAAAAAGGTGCTTCTGACCAAATTTGGTTAAAATCTGCCAAGTCCTTCACTATTTGTAGAAAAAATTGATGCTGTTGAGGCCCTTGTGACAGGCAAGGCAAAAACCTGAACAAATTAATCCTGTTCATTTCATCAGTGTACAATTTGCAATAAAACTAAAAAATATGTCTTTGTGTTATGTTTTAGACCAACATCATCAGATGGTGGGTTTTCCAATTGTATTCAATTATAGTGCGTCAGTCTTCAAAAGTATGGTCTCTATTTCTTGAGCAATGCTGAAATGATCACCTTCATGCCACATATCAACTCATTTCAAGAGTGACATGGTTCAAAATATACACATATACTTCAGGTTGTTCTCAAATTATCCAATAAATGGGTATTACGAAATTAATTGAATATAAGGCTAGTGCACCTCCCCATCAAGATTTCGACTTTTCTTTTGACCACTTCCTATTTTCTCTACTCTGCTCCTATGCCTCAAAATCTATGTCCTTGGTATCACAGATTAGTCCTAGGAGGAGACAGCTGTATGATGCAGTTTGATTTGTTTGGCTCTATTGTACCCAACTCTAAAGGAGTAGATGCACTTTGGCTCAAAATTGGCCTCAAAAAATCTTTTTTTTAATTGTTAGAAAATTCTTTAATCATGTACCCATTTGTGTTATTTAACAACTTATCAGTTGAAATGCAGATAAAAATAGGTTCATAACGCGTGTGATGACGTCACAAATTTCGCGGGAAAACGTCACGTTTACAAAAAGTCACGATTTTTTTCGATATTTTATGACTTTGAACGAAAAATTAACTACCTCCCCAAGGGTGTACCAATTTTATATTTATCAATGAGAACAATTTCCACATTATGTTTGCGATGCTCAAATATTTTTTTGGTACATGCCTGGGGAGGTATTTAAAATAACAAATATCTTCTGAATTTGTAACCACATTTCACGATTTTGGTGAGATTTTGACGTTGCCCAGCGTAACGTTAGCGTCGAGACCGACTACAAGATTGCGGAAGTAAATGGATGCTGAAATAAAAGACAAAAACATGAAAAATGACTTGACTTATGTTTGTTAATAAAATTAGATAATAATAATGAAAAAAAAATGTATTTTGAAAGATGACAAAAATATCCATGGTAACAACTCCTAGATTTTGCAATCTCCTAGGCCCGAGTCTAATGCGCTACATTGTACGTTAGTCTAAACTCGCACAGAAGATCTTGCAAGTTTCAGCCTACATTTGAAGTATGTATACGTAGAAGAGCTGTCAACACATCTGCACATCTTGTAGAAGTTGTCTACTTCTTTAACAGGTATGTAACAATATTATGTAGAAGACATCCATGTTGTGTATTCGCGACATTGTCGCGATTTGTTTACGTTTGTGCATATGAGCAGACGTCAGATCTGACTTCGAAAAAATAGTCATTGTAGATATTGCTAGTGTTTTGATAAGTATGCAGTAAGTAAAAATACAATAACAAGTATAAAAAATAAAATAAAACCTTTTCTTTTATTGTTTATAAACGGTATTTTCCATAATAACGTTGTCTGAGTCTGCGTCTAAAAATAGAATTTTGCAACCAAACAAAATGCAGGGATTTATCGTCAGAAAAAACATAATGGCAAAACTGTATTTGCTACAGTGTTGTTTTCAAAACATACACTAACATATAAAAATGAGAAAGTGTTCCTATATACGAGATATAAACTAAAATGTCAATTCACACACCCATAATAAAATCAGTGTACATCCGAAGTGTGTTGGTTTTGATTTATATTACTAACAAAATCTCCTGTGTGACGTAATCAGCCGCTGTAGTGTAATGGTGAAGGTGCGATGCTCTGGAGATGTAGATTTGCCGTGGCGAGTTCAAATCGCGGGCACACACCATATTATTTTTTATTCTTATTTTTTTTTCTATAACTTTCACCTCAATTATTCTCGATTTTAATAGTTATATTCATCAATAATGTACTGATAGAATTAATAATTATAAATATTAGAATATTATCAGGACGTTATATCATGTTGCTACATGTATTTTTCCATATAAATATCCTTGCATTCTAATACAAACAATTATATTTGCATCGATAGTCTTGGTGTTACAAATATTTCTTTTGGAGATATTGTAACTCTTACATCGCGTTAGATGTCATTTTGCTGAATTGTTATCGACTTGGGGTAGTTTTTTTCTATATATATTTTTTGCGTCGGACTTACTTTTGCTAGCATCAAATAATCAGCATATACGTGCAGAAACTAAAGTGTTAATTCTTATGGGCTAGGGTATAATTTCTCTCATTTATACTATTGTAAAATTAATACGATGAAAAATCTTACCATGTATATTTTCTTTTGAAGAATCCCAGTAACATAACGATCCTGAGGACCTGAATTCAAATATTTTTATGGATACATTTGATTCAGAAATTAAACGTAAGTCTTCTGCTTTGTAAGTTTCGTCAGCACAATGAATCGAACATTATTATATTGTGGCTATTTGATATTTTTGACCTCGCTTCATTTTTGGCTGCAGTTAGTTTATTGGCTTGTATATTTCGGAGAACTCTTGTTATAATGGCACATCCCTGAATAACTAAATGAAGTATATACATGTACATGCTTACATGTATATATAAACGTGTTTATATGCTCCAGATATACTGTATAGCCAGTATCAATGCTACATGTACTGTTACCAAAAACAAATTACGGGAAACATATGAAACACTGGCTTGATATATATTTTTTTTAAAACAGATTGACACTGGCATAATATACATTAGCTACTCTTTAAAATAAAGTTTTGTAAAAATCAGATTTTTCACCGAACTTAAGATTTAATAGATTATTTATTTTCATTATTTTCATTCTTTAAGGTTTACTAGTGATGTAATAGGAGACAGAGAGTAGCGAGAAAATGCCTGGAGATTCTTGAAGTTACATGTAAGTGTTTTAGGAAGTTCCTGAATTAATCTTATTTCTATGCTTCAAATTGTTAAGTAACAGAAATCTGAAATACTTGGAGGAGAATTCTCTCATTATCATGTTTATTTCCGTTTCAACTACAATATTTTATTTTAAAAAAGGTGACTGATATATGTATTGTAATAAAAACAGGTTTTTTTTCTATTATACATGTGTTTAATGTAATTGTCACTGTCCGTCTCCCTCCAATTGTTTGTCCAGTCTTTCCTTGTTGGCTATTTATGAAAAACAATGATAAACATTTTCGATTACTTCATATGAGTCCAGCTACCAGCTTCTAAAATAGCTATTATTTCATTATTTCATACAGTATATACTGTATAATAAAGCAATTATTGACTTCTAGTAAAGTAATACAAATATTTAACACCCAGTCAAAGCAATGCTCATATCTGACTCGAGTCCCTGTTAACACATCAATTTACATGTTTGATAAATCATTGTAATAACATTATGAAGATCACTATTGCATGATACACTGTATAAACAACAAGTGATGGATACAATGTTTCATATTTATTCAACATACAATAAGTAAATGCCCAGACGCCCTTTAGTTTCTGATGCTTTTACAACATATTTATAACTTATTTGTATTAATATATCATTAAAATGGTTAAAGGTAATTCCCAGTGAGAATTAGATACTTTCGATTTTATAAGTTGAACTGCATAAACCTGTCCATTTAGAAGATGTCGAAATTGAAAACAAAATTTATTTGATATAGTTACCATCATATGCATTTGAATACTGCATTTATTCACATTCAAAATGCATCTATTTACTATTTTTCAGATGGGTCGTTGAGGCTGTGAATGGACGGTTAAAAACCTGGAAATATTTGGATCGTGTGTTGCCAAACTCACAGATTCCATACATAGGCGATATTGTCAGGATTGTGTGTGCAATCTTCAACAAGTTCGGTACACCAATAAGCACGGGGGATGCAGAGCAAGATCAACTGCTAGGATCGAAAATGTTGCATTTGTCACGGAAGCAGAATTCTCTTTGGGAGAGAATTGAACGAGAAGGCCTTTTCAATCGACCTAGTAAGTGGCAGAAGATGGAGACCACAACTGATATCATATTTCCTGTTCTGACAGAAGAAGACCTGCGGAATTTGACACTGGGAGTGTATCAGCTCAAACTGGCACGGTCCTACACACAGGAACATATGAGCGAAACGGGAGGATATGAAGTATCTATCTGTAAAGTAGATGCTAATCTGATCAATGCCAAGATACAGAGCCGACATTTTTCCTCAAAACTTTACCAATTGTGGGTATCATTTGATGATTGTAATGTGCAAGGATGGTACTGTACATGCCGTGCTGGGGCGAGGGTGGTTGGGACTTGCTCCCATGTTGCATCCATCTTATGGTATATGGGATTTGCACGTCATTTAGACAAGTCCTTTGACTTTAGTAAGGACTGGACACAATATTTACAAGATGCCAGTTATACACCAGACCCAATCAGTATTGATGAGAGTGATGATGAAGGTAACACGGAGGAATAAAACAGCACAGCTTTACCGATGTAGCCATGTAAATTACATATAAATTTCGGAATCTCCAAAAATGTAATTACAAATGCACGATGGTCACTTGATCGACTGAGGAATTGACTTTAATCTCGAATGACAATGTATTTTGTTAGTGCATAATGTTTATTTGAAATAACTTTTAACTTTTGTAAGAATCATTAACTGTAACATGTTTGATTTCATATCCTTTTCAAATTAACCAAGAATATAAAGATAACCGTGTACGGAAGTATTGACAAATTGATGTACTGATTATTGCATGTACTGTTGCTATGGTGAAATATTTAGTTGCTATGGTAAGACATGGTTACTGTGGAATACCACCTATATGCTCTATTGTATCATCATATTTACATTTTTAAGATGTACCATAATCTAAACAGCCCTTGAGTATTATCATCAATTTTCTGTGTCCTTTATTGTATTTATTACAATCCGTTGCTATGGAGAGAGTTTGGTTGTTATTGTGTTGCTAGGAAATCTTAAACATGTAATATATGATGGTTGATCACAAATATGATATGATTTTTAAATCATACCATTGATATGTAAAAATTGATTAAATATTTTCACCAAATAATAAAAAAAAACAGTGAAATATCACTAAAATGTGCAAATAGACGGTAAAGAGTAGGTTGGTTTCCAGGCCCGTTGCTAGGCAACGCATTGTCAGAATTATTGAAAACTTGTTTTTTTATCAATGTCATATGTCCATGTTTGCATGATATAAAAATTAAGAAAATCTATGCTGGGGCCAAAATTGACCCTTAATGCATCTACTCCTTTGAAAGATATTATGAATATACATAAATAATGGTTTAATTGCTCTGACAAAAGGACCATAAGAATATGTGATAGCAATGGATGGTTCATACATTTCTGACAAGAATACAAGAGAATGAGAGAAACATTGAATGTAAAGCAATTAACGACATGTTAAAAATTCTATGGTAACGACATGCTAAAAATTCTATGGTATCTATGGGGATTTTCTCCTCTTGTTAACATAAGAAACAAAAGTAATACAAAGCTAACTCATTTTTTATGAACCCGATGTGGGACACGTTTCTTGATATAGATCTGACAACAGACAGAAGAGAATATATAATATTATACCTGTAAAGCTGCCACAAACTGAATGGTGCTGACAAAGGCCAGATGGGAACCAGGTGAAAAGTTGTGATGTATTGTTTCCAGGAAGTGAGCTGTGTCAATCTTGATGTCGACAAACACGTATAGCATCTGTATTCCTTCAGTCTTGTCTATCGGAACTATTTATTGAAACAGACAAATGATGAATTATTTATAGTAACAGGCAAATGATGAACTATTTATAGTAACAGACAAATGACAGTCCATTTTTCTTTCGTCCTTTTTGTGTCTGAGATATGTACTGTAAAAATTGTTTAAATTTCACGTGGGATTTATGGGTTATGGTTGTCTTTGAAGGCTAAAACTTGTGGAGGTAAGAGTACTGTAAAGTACTGGCTAGAAAAAGTGAGAATTTCCCCTTCAGCCAAGCTGCAGAGTGTCTGGCTAGAGAGCTCTAGTGGTGACAAAACATATTTTTCAGTACTCCTTTTTTGTTTAACATGTAATGACACCTTCAGGCGATGTGATTGGCTGAAGGTCCCATTGTTACAATTGTGATGTCATAACTTCATGGCGTCAAATGCATTGTGATGTCACCAAATTAAAAAATATTGAGTGAGAAAATCCCCAAATTACATTTGGTTATAAACTTATGTATTTCACAACAATTGCGAAACAAGCTATCAGGTTATATAAATCACTCTTGTTGGCCCGGATGGAAGTGTGGGAGGGATCTTACTATTGGAGGAAGCTAAAGTACCTATAGAAAGCCCAGGTGATCAGACGGGTGACCCCCATACCTTTTCATGTCCATACCAGGAATCGAACCCCAGACAGCTAGGTAAAAGTGAGTGTGTTTCTACTGCACCACTTGAAATTACATTAATTTTTATCTTTGTTTTATTAAATGCCATTTTTACAAAAACTTACAAAAGTATCTAGGTTTTGCAATGAACAGAATCTTCCATCTCATCTTACCAGAAGCTTGTTTAAGTGATAAATTTTTCAGCTGATATCATTAATCATATATACAATAGAAAGTCACGTAAAATCAGCTATTTAGTGTATATTTCTTATCCTTCTTACTGAGACAATGCAACCAGAGGAAAAAGAAATTTGAAAACCAGTTTCTTTGATATCAAAATCAAATGTACTTGTATACATATAAACTACATTTTCTTAAAATTGACATAAATTTGTTGACAATTTTAAAAAAGTATTCAAATGGTTACCTAGACAACTGTGTCCATAGTGAATCATAAGATCTGCTCCCAAGGCCCTAGCAGTGAAATCATCAACACAGCATGCTCCATAAGTCACATCACCCATAATAAGGCTGTCTGCCTCTGTAAACCTGTACAACATATTTACATTGTTTTATTTCTTCACAATTACACAGTATTAGACACTCAGTCTAAATGTCACTACAAATGTCAGATTATGAGTACAGTGTGATGTAGTACATGTATATGAGTTGGTGGAGCTCTGTTTAATCATTAATGTACAGGAGAACAGCTGTGAGAAGTGGGTACCATATGCAACTGCATGGGATAAGACACTGCAGTTGTATATGCATTTAAATATTTAAAAGAAATTCATTTAAAAATTAGCAAAGTTTAAATGAATTTGTTACATAAAGGGGGATAATTCGCCTAAAAGGCTCAAAATGCAAAATTGTTTGAGTATACACAAAATAAGTAGATCTACTTACTCCTCAATGATGTCAGCAATTGTACAAGCAAACAGTAACAATCCCTCAGGAAACTGGAGAGCCACTGTAGATATAGAGAGAAGTACAGAAGAACCATAGATACTGGATAGGTGATTTCAGTGATAAAACTTTGACATATTCTAATCATTGAAAAGCATAAATAAATCCACTAGAATATCATAATCATTTATCTAGGCTGTTACAACATGAAGCTAGTTTTGATATGTAACATCATTGTGACCACTGACCTTTACTCTGTGTTATGTATCAAAATGTGAGAAACTAAACAATACTGTTATAACTCTGCTGTTGTTTTATATAATATGTACATAAACATTTCAAACCCATAAACATGTTAGAGAATACATGATCAGTTTCTTAACATATCAGCTGTATTTTGGCGAGGATTTTATTATAAATAATGTTTACAAACTATATAATCACCTCTCTTGGCTTTTGTCGTCCTTATTCTCCATACTGTTTTAAATATCTCAAAATTGTAGTTATTTGGCAGCTACAACATCCAATAATGTTATATTGAGAAAACGTAATAAAATATGTAAATAAAATTTTACATAGTAACAAATAAATAACACACGGAAATGTTTTAACAGAAATATAAATTCTATATTAATTAAAATTCAATCTATTGAGATTACAGATAGAAAACTAATAAAACTATAACAACAATAAATGATCTCAATCAAGTACCTGCTTGACAGCTTCTTGTAGCTTGACATTATTCAGGATATCATCTGGTATTTGATGTGCAGCACGTCTTGAAACATTTCCTGAAATCATGACATAAATATTAGAAATTAATGTATTTACTTGATAGTTCTAACTGTTTTGTTAATGAATGTAGCAGTTAAACAATGATTAATTTGAGTACACTGTGACTAAATCAGATGATCTAACTACTTCAGGACGTTATACAAGGCTTACTTGCTGATAAACCTATACGATATTTAAATCCAATTCAACCATCTGTATCTTCCAATCACAATGTTTAATGACAATACAAGAATCAGAAACAAAAAAGGAAATTAAAACATGTAAACAGAATCATAATCCAAACTCAAATTTAGTTAAACTTGGGCAAAATATGAACAAAAGGAAGATTTACAAATAGACTCCTGAAAAAGTGCAAGGGGAATAAGACCTGGGTTTCCAGATGAGTAAGCATCCTTTGCTTCATCAACAAAACCTGTCATGTAAATCTTGGGTCAGTCCAAGTAAGTTATGTCACATTCTCAAATGAATACAAGGTACACAACAACAGAACCTATAGGCAAACAAATGAGCATCAAACACATTGTTTCATAATGCATAAAGAAATAGAATATTTTTCAAGGAGATCACTATGACGACCATAAAACTTTCCCATAATTTTCATCAACCTGCATCTTCTGAAACCCTGTATTATGAGTTTGTCCATCAGTTGATGACTTCTTTCAAGAAATTGTGATAATGGGAACAAGCCCCTGAATACTGAATCAACTGCAACATTTAAACTTAACTTGAGGATGCAGAAATATTGCTATCCAGAGAAGAAAAATTTACAATGATGAAACTGAAATCATCATGCTTATCATACTGCTTGATGAAAAATTTGAAGGCATTTCTTAAGTTTTGAGCGGGATATAGTGGAAAAAAACTTATATTCTTATTATTCTTGGTTAAAAGCTCTTTGGAGTTCTTTAAATTCTGTGTAAATTAATTCCATTTTTCATACAATTTTTTAATCAATTTTTATAGTCTAGACATGTCATCAAAGACTTTATTCACACATTTTCTGGTACCATAGAAACAGATAACTCTCATAAAACAAATTTCAGTTTTCTAGGTCAATGCTCTGAAACAATTCAAGATAACTGCTCAAATCTTTAAAAGCTTATTAAGCTTGTAGTATCTTTTGCTATGGGGAAGTTAACCATTTAACTACATTTTCTGTTACCATGGAAACAGGCCATTTATAAAGTTAATTTTTTTCAGACCAGTTCTCTTAAACCGATTTAGGCAATTACCCATTACTCAAAACTTTGTACAGCATCAAGTTATTGCTCTAGCAGAAGTTCTCTATTTCAATGCTTTTATATTTTGTATGGAAGAATTAAAGATAACCCATTAAACCTGTTGTAATATTAACATGTATATATGATTGTGTGTCTTTCTTTTAAACATCAGGGCGTTGGGATTATGTCACGCTTTGGGTTTTCTTGTCGTCTTTTCTTTTGCTCTTCTTTGTCTTCATGTTATATGATTGTTATATGACTTATTTACATATGGAAACTGAACTATTTAAACTTATATTTCTAGAAGTAGACGATGATGATGATGATGATGGTGATGATGATGATGATGATGATGATACATAGGTACATGTACATATGCCGATGTTTTGTTAAAATCTTACGAAATATAAAACAAATTAATGAAAAAACGCTTCTGTGCAAACATGGACCAGGCAGTTCAAAATGTGCATCTTGTTGACCGAGTCTTGAAATCGAGTCCTCAAGTACCTGTGTACACTAGTACTGTCACTACTTTACTAGTACATGCGGTGATTGTGTAAAACTACGGTGTACACATCTATTCAGATGAGATGTATATCAAAACATCCCATAAGTATATAGAATCCAACTTAAATATCAAAGAACATAAATCAAAACAAACCTTTGATAATCTTCCTGTTTACATTAGCTTTTACAACTGTCGTTTTCGTTTCAGTGGGCGCAGCCATCTTGGCCACACGGGAGATAACTAACATTTTGGAGCTCTTTTGACCGGAAAATAACAAAAAAAAGTGTAGACGAAAACATGAAATTTTGAGATGGAAGACAGCGATGAAGAAGTAGAAGTGTTGGTAAGTTGGTAGTCGTCAGCATAAATGTGAATAATCTTGAATCAGAAATGTGGTTTTACTACAGCAATTATTGTTAATGTAAAAATGTGGGCGTGTCCTTGGACATCGGTACAAAATGTATATCGTCTCTAAAATCATGACACAACTTACAACGAACAGTCAACAGGCCAATCAGTGAAAGTTATTTCAACAACGTGTACATAATTGTCTCTCACAGGACGTGTCGTCTTAATTTGCTTAACTGATAATTGCCTTTGAGATATTCTTTCTTTGCAAATGTAAACAAAAAAGAGATGAATTATCTTTAAACAGTACATCCATTTAATTTAAAATTTTAAGAATGGTGAAAAAATCCGTCAAAAAAATAACATTTAAGTCAAAAATATTCTGTAAAGGACTATCATGCATTACTGGATTTACTACTCTGTATTAATCTGGAGGATTTTAACATGAAAGAGGCAAAGACCAAAGAGTGATTAGTCCTTGCTTGTCAGAAGAATTCTGTCTGTCTATCCACGATTTTATTTTTGTTTTGGTCATGGTTGATATGGACCATATCTATATATGTACTTAACCAAGTTAGGAACAAAATTATGGATAGATAGTCAGAACCCTTCATAGTAATAGTTTAATAACTTTTAGCATTTTGTATTGAAACATGGTAAAATTTGTTGAGAATAATCAAATTAATCATTTGCATAATTAAAAGTAGTAGAAATAGCAACTGATGTTATTCTTTTAAGTGATACATATATGGATAAAGAGCTATTCTTGTATACAGTATTGTAGGAAAACAGGTTGCGAGGCTATCTATGGTTTTATCTGTATCAGGTGTTAAACTATTATCATTTTGGGTCCCTTTAATGGTACCATCTTTTATTTGTAATCAACAGTATGGTAGGGCAATATGTTCAGTGTATGCTTCGTGTCACATAGTTGCTGTCATCAGTGCTGTCTGGGTTTACAGGGGCATTTTACTTTCATAACAACTAGATCCTTGTGAGTTGCCAGAAGACATTCTAACCTCACTGTGCATATGCCATAGATTTGGCTAATTTGAATGGATATGCAGTGCAGGAATGCAGTTTGCATATTAGACCAGTGGACTAGGTATAAAAAGGGCTGCACAGTGATAAATGGGGACTTGCTTGGCCGAATAGCGGGCCAACAATTAGGAGAGGAAACCCTCTCCACTCCCAGGCTCCGATAGTGGTTGCCACCAGGTACTGATCATGATGAGCAGTACCAGTTATGTCCTGACGTCAGTACACCAACATTAGGGTAGGTTACAGGGTGAGATCTGTTGTCACAGACAGTGAAGGTAGTGGTCATTCAACAAAATCTGGTATACTTAATAAACTTTCATAACTAAAATGTTGATTTGTTTGTGATTTATATACCCTTCCATATCTTACGGACTTGCAGAGTAAACCGAGACTGACAGTCGCAGTTAGGAGAGTTCAAAGGACTTGTCCGATGGTCAGATTGACAGTGGTTTTGTGAAACTTAACTAAACTTTTTACTCTCGGCTTTTTGCAGAGAAAAGAACTGGAATGGCTGCTGAGAGACCAGGTGCATCAAGTTCTGGAAGAAGTTCACGAGACACTTGTAGTGAGAATGATATTGTTGTTTTTTAGAGATCATAAACATATAAATTTTTATGTTGTGGACTTTGTACTCACTATTGTATTAGTTATGTGGATGAGGAACACGTGGAATGTAAATGACCAGCTGATGGCTTTATGTATATTTAAAAGCAGAAAAAATTACATATAAAAAGTTCACTGATAATGAAGTCTTGGAAACAAAGCACTTACCAGCAATTAATTTATGCCAAAATTATACTCTAACTTCCCATTCTAAGATTTAATCAAATATGTTTTATTTTTTTTTATCCAGGAATGCTGTCGAAGATTTTTGATTAAAGCAAGTCCAGGTAAGATTTATATCTTTGAAGAAAAAAACAAGAAAAAAGTCCTTTACTGAAAAAAACCCACAAAAAGAAAACACTTCATTTATTTTTGTTGATAAAATAAGATTTCAGGGTATGCATACATTTACAAGTATTATTTAAGGCTGTACCTGAACATTTGATCACATATGTTTGTATATAACAGTATATATAGTAATTATCTATTTTATGTTACAGAGTTTTGATATGTGACACTTTACTTGATGGTACTAAGATAATTACTGTTATGAACATTAAACATCACATTAATACATGAATCTATAAAGTCAATTTATGGTCATGAAATTGAATCACAAAAACATAAACTATATTTATATATATTTCAATTTTTGAAACTAGCGATATATATATGTAACTTCCATTGTGTTGAATGATAAGTTACACCATTCGTTATTTACTTTTATTAGTACAGTCATACATAGTAATCATGTACAGCAGGATCATTTCTGTTATTTCCATCAGTGCATTATTACAATTCAGTTTTATATGAATTAATGCAGATTTTTCATTTGAGAATGAGGAGGAGGTAACTCTCAATCGACACGATGATGGTATAAGTTTTTATTTAATTTCTAGCATATTGCCTGTCCTGTTGTGCCTGTACTTTGCTAGCCTGGCATTTATTGGTAGTTTGTTTTTATTTCACATTGTTAAATCCCTACCCTTCATATTTCCATTCACATCTTCCCTAGATTCCCAATCAATGGGTAATGAAAAAATAGGAAATCAATTGAGAGATGCCATGATTAACACAAAAAGGGCAAATTTCAGCAAAATATATTCCCTTGACCTTTGTACCTCAGTTGCATCAGTTACCTGACTCCACCTGACTATGTTCACACATTACACATGATAAATGTATACAGTATTCATGCTCCCCATGCAAGTTGATTCCACCGTCATATTCACAATTCATTTCTCGTGTACTTTGCTATATTCCAGAATCTCGATATCAAAGTAGAATGTACTGTTATATCTCCAAACTTCCAAATTATCAAACCCTGTCTTAGTTGAGCACTGATATCCGAGATCAATTAGTCCTTTTCTCAGTTTATGAGAAACACAAACTGCACCCTTCCCATTGTAATAGCAGAGAAATACACCAGTCTTTACCATCATGGTTGTGTCCTTAGCCAAAACACCTTAACCAAATTGCTGTAATCACATGCGAAGGACCTCTTGTAGGTTTTTCAATGAGGTATCCACCAGCTACTAAAAGGAGACCATGCCTCTAAATGACCCTGTTTTTTTTTCACAATAAATAGATCAAGCAAAACAACCGAACAAACACAAAACTTCAATATTTCTACTAAGAATAAAAAAGGTTGTTAGATTTGCTCTGTTCTCTTTTTTATTCAGTGTACTAAGAAATCAAAATGTTACATGTTTTCCAAGAGGGTCAGACACTGGTTACTTATTTTAAAAAGGAAATACTTTGAATTAAAACAAGGATATTTCTGTTATCTATCAACACCTCTGTAATAAAAAAGTACACGCTCACATTTAGTTGTACAAATATTCTTATCCTTGATACTATTCAGGTTGCATGCCACTTAAGGGTATGAGTACATATGCTCCCAAAACCTTTTTTACATATTGTACCTTGTGAAATTATTTGTTTATTGTATTAGCATAATAAATTATAGATATAGACTGACATTCAGGATCTGTTCCTCTTATAAAGCATTTTGTACATAAAATATCTGTTTTAAGGAAAAAAAATGAAAAAGTTATAGTAAAATAAAAAACATGTTACAAATAGATTTATCTTGTATTTTAAAAAGAACAATAGAACATTGCTTTATCCTGATTCTACACAAAGTTATTGTCAGAAAAGTTTTAATTTAAATTCATTGCCAATATTTGATTTAGGATCAAGCTATGTAACTTAAATATGAGTTGATATTTTTTCAGTGTAATTCTTGAAAACATTTTTTTCATTTTCATTGAGTGAGACTTTAGAAATTGACAAATAAATAAGATTACCAATCCCTGTACAGTTTATTTTTTTTTTATTGTATGCTTTATGTGGGTTTATCTGTCATTGGTGTGTGTATTGGTGGCATTATTTTCATGTTGTTTCATCAATGGTTTATGTGCACATATTTATTTGTTAGAAATGTTTCTGTTGTAAAACAATCTGATATGTTTTGTATAAATGAGAACAATCCTACAGAATGACTTTCTCCTTATAATTCCTTTCTTGGGATTTTGTTTTTCTTCCTGGTTTCAAAAGTAGACCATTGAAAGTATGTTTTTTAACCAACAACCATCACTCTATTCAAGGAAAGGCATAGACTATATACTAAGGAACACACAGACTATATACCAGGCAACACAGACTATATACCAGGAAACACAGACTATATACCAGGAAACACCGACTGTATACCAGAAAACACAGACTATATACCAGAAAACACAGACTATATTCCTAGGAAACACAGACTGTATACTAAGGAACACACAGACTATATACCAGGAAACACCGACTATATACAAGGAAACACCAACTGTATATCAGTAGATACAGAGTGTATACCACAAAGCACAGATTATATACCATAAAACACAGACTATATACCAGAAAACAGAGACTATATACCAGAAAACAGAGACTATATACCAGAAAACACAGACTATATTCCTAGGAAACACAGACTGTATACCAGGAAACAGAGACTGTATACCAGAAAACACAGACTATATACCAGGAAACACTGACTATATACCAGGAAACACCAACTGTATATCAGTAGATACAGAGTGTATACCACAAAGCACAGATTATATACCAGAAAACACAGACTATATACCAGGAAACACAGACTATATACTAAGGAACACACAGACTATATACCAGGAAACACCGACTATATACAAGGAAACACCAACTGTATATCAG